ATCAATTTCATTTTAAAGAGTTAAAGATAGCTTCTTCAAAGCAGAATCAGCCCTGTACCTGAAACTTCACCTCCTTGGGTTTGGATGCTACAATTAAAGGAGAACTTTTTAAGAAGTCGTCGATCAGATTAGGAACTCTATAAAGTCCAATTTAAATCCAATGTGGTAATGCCAATTTTTCTACAAGGCTTTCTTCTTCTTCCTTTTCTCCCCACCTAGAACAAATTTGTGGTCCCGGTGTTGTAACCTACGAATGCTGCTCTTTTACAGTTTGGGGGCTGTTGATGTGATTGAATTTATTTTTATTGACTGTACTTTATTGTCGCAGTCTTCCGGTTTATAAATTGCTTAAAGTGCAAAAAAGGACAATACGTGCTTAAATAATGGTGATGGCCTTGCGCTCTCTCTCTCTCTCTCTCTCAAACTTGGTTCTTGTCATCGCAGGAGTAGAACCACAACTTTGGAAAGTCCACAACTTTGATTTTTTTTTCTTCCCCCCCCCCCCACTCTCATTTAGGTGGATGATATCATGATGACCCTGAAGCAAGCTTTCAGCGTGGCGGCCATCCAGCAAAATTTCAAAGCACAGCTTCAATTCTGCGACGGGTGTCCGATGCAAATTCTTCATAAGCTTTGTGAAAAGATAGAAGGTAATAATTATCTGGATTGATCTATGTCAGTGGTGGCGAACCTATGGCACGGGTGCCAGAGGCGGCACTCAGAGCCCTCTCTGTGGGCATGCGTGCCATCGCCCCAGTCCTAGACCTTCAGCTGGGTTTTATCAAACCTTTTAAGCGTGTACAAAAAAAGGTTCAATCAATCAGTCAATTTCAACTTCTCACGAGAAAAAAAAAGATCTTGCAAAGTTGGAATTGATTGATTGAACTTTTTAGTCCCACCCAGTCTGCTGTTACCACCGCAGCCACGCCCACCCAGTGGGCCACACCCACCCAATGGGCCACACCCACCCGGCACCCGACGATGCATAAGTGGGTTTTGGGTTGCAGTTTGGGCACTCGGTCTCTAAAAGGTTCTATGTGTTTTCTTTGATGCCTTTGGGAGTTAGTCAATAGATAGATAGATATATAAAATCGGGAGCAAAAAAAAAAGGTTGTTTTTTTAGGGTGTAAAAATGGTGACTTGAGCAATGTAATAATGTTGACCTGTTTTATTTGTTAGGGACGCATCCTTCTAAAATTAAGTTGGAACTGCAAAAACATTTAACAGCACTGAATAACCAGGAGCAAGCCTCCATCTTTGAGGAAGTTCAGGTAATTTGCCAGTGTGTTGGTTTTTTTTTTTTCCTTCCCTGTGGAGGAAAAATACATTTTCTAAGTTGTGCCCTTAGTTTGTGCCTCTAAGCAGGAGCTGCATTAAATTTGTGGAAATTGCTTGCCCAGCATTAGACACCATTGGCTGATGATAGAATTCATCAAGGTCAGCCGTGCTTTTCTTACTACGTCATCTGAGACTTGCCCGTACGTTTGTTTGTTTACTTCGAAATAGATTTAGGTATTTGAAAGGGGAAAAAATGGTCCAAAAAACTTTTTGCTTTATATTGGATTGGGGGGCTGGACTAGAAGACCTCCAAGGTCCCTTCTATTCTATTCTATTCTATTCTATTCTATTCTATTCTATTCTTCATTTATTCTACTCTACTTCTATTCTATTCTATTCTTCATTTATTCTATTCTATTCTATTCTATTCTATTCTATTCTATTCTTCCCTACTTCTATTCTATTCTATTCTATTCTATTCTATTCTATTCTATTCTTCCCTACTTCTATTCTATTCTATTCTATTCTATTCTTCATTTATTCTATTCTATTCTATTCTTCCCTACTTCTAGTCTGTTCTATTCTATTCTATTCTTCATCTATTCTATTCTATTCTATTCTATTCTATTCTGTTCTATTCTTCATTCCTTCTATTCTATTCTATTCTTCATTTATTTTACTCTACTTCTATTCTGTTCTATTCTTCATCTATTCTATTCTATTCTTCATTTATTCTATTCTATTCTATTCTATTCTATTCTATTCTATTCTATTCTATTCTATTCTATTCTAAATTTTTGTAGAATTGATTGCCCAGAGATGCGGTTGAAAAAAAACTAGAAATAACAGGAAGGTTATAAGTTTTTTCAAGTCAGCCAAATAAACATGGCCTTTAAAAGCAAGGATTATTCCCTTCTCTGAATGACAGGATAGAAAGCTAATTAAAATAAATTGTTTCATAACTCCAGCAATGTATTGTGAAATTGACACGGCCAAGTCAGTTATGTTATAGGTAGTTCTCAACTTACGGTCACAACTGAGCCCAAATTCTCTGTTCCTAAGTGAACCATTTGTTAAGTGAGGCTTGCCCCATTTTATGACCTGTAAGCCACAGTTGTTAAGTGAATCACACATCATTGTTAAGTTAGTGACACAATTATTAAGTGAATTTGGCTCCCCCCCCCCATGGACTTTGCTTGATCCCCGGGACACTGCGACCGTCGTAAATACGAGTCAGTTGCCAAGCGTCTGAATTTTGATCACGTGACCGTGGGGAACGCTGCCACGGTCGTCAGTGTGAAAAAATGGTCCTAAGCCAGTTTTTTCAGTGCCGTCGTAACTGTGAACGGTCACTAAGTGAACCGTTGTAAATTGAAGACTGCCTGTATTTGCAGCCATTTTGTGATGCAAAAATCCTTTTTCGTGCAGAAAATAAGGCCAAGAAATGAACAGAAGGAGAATGAACTAATCGTGTCTATCCTGAGAAGCATGTATGAAGAAAAACAGAAGGATCACGTTCACCTGGGGGACGTTAAACAGGTCTGCCGTTTTCTTTTTCTGACATTTCTTTCGAAAGACAAGATAGGGAAAATGTTTTCTAACAGCAATCGCGTAGGACTCCATTTTTTATTTTTTTATTTTAAAAAATGGGGGAGAGCTACAACTTTTGAGGAAATAGAAATTTGAAAATTGCAGCGCCCCCATGATCTTGCAAATACAAAAAGTTGGATATAGAGCTGGGAGACGTTTATGAGGGTGGCTCAAATCAGGTGAGAATCACCCAGATTTTTAAACCAGCTTTGAGAAATGCAGGGTTAAGAGGAAGCAAATACAATACACTGTGTCTCTGAGTCATAGAAAAAAATAAATTAAACCCAAAATGGCGACTTCCTTTTGTTTACTCATCTCACCAGCAAAATTGAAGTGGTGTTTGCTCATATTTGAAATTTTGTTTGTTTTTAATAAAGATCTATGTTTGCCTGCTATCAAACTGCTTTTTTTTTTTTAAGCTATCATTTTGGGTTAAATTTTTTTTACTGAAAACTAAATAGCACCTTACATTTTGAATTAGATGTGTAATGCCAGTTCTGAATTAAAATGGTTTGGCATTTGATCTCCGATTGGCTAAGTTTTCTTAAGATGCCCCCCCCCTTTTTTTTTTAAGAAAATTTTATTGATTTTCTAGTGACACATTTAAATGTTTGAAAAGCAACGTGGCGGCTGAGTTGGTCAATAATTCAATAACATACAAATATCTTTAGTACAGATCACAAACTATTACATTAAATATTTCTTTTCCCCTTGGTTTTTACTGTCTCATATTTAAATTCATACAATTCTTATTATATCGATTAAATAAAAATAACTTTCTTACATTGATCAATCATTTTTAGTTTATACATATCCTAGTTATTTTAACATTCAATCTTTTTAGACAATCAGTGTCCTGGTTAATTTTTCCCAGTGTTTAGTTTCCCATTCAGATATTAAATTTAACGTTTAATATTTATAATTTCTCCCCAAATGATTTCTATTCTTTATTTTGTATACTATAATAATAATAATGATAAAGTTGGAAGGGACCTTGGAGGTCATGTAGTCCAACCCCCTGCTCAGGCAGGAAACCCTATACCATTTTGGACAAATGGCTGTCTAGTTTCTTCTTAAAAACTTCCAGTGTTGGTGCATTCACCGCTTCTGGAGGCAGGTTGTTCCACTGGTTAATTGTTCTAACTGTCAACTGCTGCTGATTGTATAACTAGGCTAAACGGTTGACAAGAAAATGACCAAATAAGGACTAGTTAACGTATCTGGAGGATTTTGTGAAGTCTTTTTCATTTTTCATCAGCTCTTTTATTTCTTTTTTTCCCCCTAACTACGGAAATATCCACTGGGAGAAAAGGGTGGGAAAATGTAATCAAAACACAAATAAATTTGGTTTTGGGGGGAAGGAGTCCCTGTTGATTTATCGTTATTTTCTTTTCAAATACATTTGTGATCTTAACCCCCCCCCTAGGCCACGCAATCTTCTGTAGAAGCCCTGGGAAACGAAATGCCGAACAACACAACTCGCTTCAAGCTTGACGTGCTCAGGAGCAAAGCCAAAAGGTCCCTTACAGAATCCTTAGAAAATATTTTATCTCGGGTAAGTCTCTTTGGATCGCTTGCATCCAACGTGGCTATTTGGGTGGTTGAAATCAAGAGTAATGAAAAAAAATGCATTTTTGCTATCATCGAATAAACAACTGTGTACGTGTTTGAAACGGTGGAAATCACGAACGACGTATTACAAGTATCCCACTTTTTTTAAGGGGATGCCAGAAAATTATTTGCTCTTTTTCAATATTTCAGGCTTACTCTTCAAGTGTCGGAGAGGAAAATAAATGCAAGTCCGAGGAAATCTTTGATTTACAACCATTTGTTTAGGGCAGGGGTAGGCAACCGTGGTTCTTTTATGACTGGTGGACTTCAACTCCCAGAATTCCTGAGCCAGCATGGTTCAGCTTGGAAACATCTCCCTGTCCCCTCAGCGTGGCTGGCTCAGGAATTCTGGGAGTTGAAGTCCACCAGTCATAAAAGAGCCAAGGTTGCCTACCCCTGGTTTAGGGACTGGCAAAGTTACAAAGGCACTGAAAAAAATGACTTAGGACCGTTTTTCACACTTATGACCATTGCAGCATCCTGTGGTCACGTGATCAAAATTCAGCCACTTGGCCACTGACTCGTACTTACGACGGTTTGCAGTGTCCCGGGGTCACGTGATCCCCTTTTGCAACCTTCTGACAAGCAAAGTCAATGGGGAAGCCGGGTTCGCTTAACAACCGTGTTACTATCTTAACAACCGCAGTGATTCCCTTAACAACAGTGGCAAGAAAGGTCGTAGAATGGGGCAAAACCTGTTTAACAACTGTCTTGCTTAACAATGGAAATTTTGGGCTCAAATTTTGGTCATAAGTCAAGGACTACCTGTAATAGTAAGCCTATTCTTAGCTCACCCCCAAAATTTAATTTAATAATAATCTCAGTGCCGCTAGAACAGGGGTAGGCAACCTTGGCTCTTTTATGACTCGTGAACTTCAACTCCCAGAATTCCTGAGCCAGCATGGCTCAGCTTGGAAACCTCTCCCTTTCCCCTCAGCATGGCTGGCTCAGGAATTCTGGAAGTGGAAGTCCACGAGTCATAAAAGAGCCAAGGTTGCCTACCTCTGGCCTAGGCCTAGGCCGCTTTATGACTGGTGGACTTCAACTCCCAGAATTCCTGAGCCACCATGGCTCAGCTTGGAAACCTCTCCCTTTCCCCTCAGCATGGCTGGCTCAGGAATTCTGGGAGTTGAAGTCCACGAGTCATAAAAGAGCCAAGTTTGCCTACCTCTGCGCTAGAATCTTTAAATTTAACAATTTATTCCTTACGAGGAATGTCTTTTATATGAATTTTCATGTTTCTTTATATACGTGCTGTATATCTTTATATTTTAAATATATATATAATATGAGGGTTTTCTTGGCAGGGAAATAAAAGTAAGAGCCTACAGGAAACTTCCGGAAGTATTGATTTGGATAGCTCCATATCCAGCACGCTGAGTAACATCAGTAAAGTAAGTGAATCGTTCAGTGTAAAACCAACGCAAGGAATGGAACGGCTTGCTTGCTTTACAATTTTCTGTCATAAAACGTTCCCTTGGTTTAGCCTCCAATAGATTCCTAGGGTAATTATTACATTTTATTTTTTAAAGATTGAAATCGTTTGATCCTAAAGGTGCTACTAACTTAACAAACGTTTCTGCCATGGTTCCGACAGATGAAACTCTTCAAAAGAACTTCGAGGCGTAGTTTACCTTAAAGAATCTTTATTTGAGTAGCATAGCATTGGCACGTACATAATCGAAGCCAAAATCTGAATTCCCCTCCCCTGAGCACATAGTATCAAAGCACAATTCCCTCCTCTAATTAACAGTCATAAATCACATTCCCCAATTAGCTTGAAACACGGGCTTCCTCTCCAGCTGTCCAGCCCGCCAATTCTTATCATTTCGTTTTTCAACAACCTTGGTTCTCACACTAGGTTCAGTGTTGTTATGTCTAGCTGGACTCTCGTTCACATTCCCACCCCTCCCCAGCATCATCTAACTCTAAAAGCAAAAAGAAGAAAATGGCTGCATCTCCATCTGTTGTCAATGCAAAAACATCGAAGTTAGCAGCGTTGACAGTTTCACTTAGCAGAAAAGTTGGGGTCATTGGTCATAGATTGCCTGTATCCGCTATAACAGAACTATTATGAAAGACCCCAGGAAGCACCGTGGAGGATGGGAACTTGATTCTTCCCTCTTTTACAGTCTATGGAAACCTTTCTGCCCGGTTATCAGAATAACAGAGTTGGAAGGGACTTTGGAGGTCTCCTAGTCCAGCCCCTTGCTCAAGCAGGAGACCCTATGCCAGGGATAGGCAACCTTGGCTCCTTTATGAGTCGTGGACTTCAACTCCCAGAATTCCTGAGCCAGCATGGCTCAGCTTGGAAACCTCTCCCTTTCCTCTCAGCGTGGCTGGCTCAGGAATTCTGGGAGTTGAAGTCATAAAAGAGCCAAGGTTGCCTACCCCTGCCCTATGCCATTTTAGACAAATGGCTGTCCAATCTCTTCTTAAAAACCTCCAGTGATGGAGGTGCCAAAGTTGCTTTTTATTTCAAAAGCCAACTGGACTTTGTCTTTCCTTGACGATGTTTCGCTTCTCATCCAAGAAGCTTCTTGAGTTCTGAACAAAACTGAAGAAGCTTCTTGGATGGAGAAGCGGAACATCTTCAAGGAAAACAAAGGAAGTCCAGTTGCCTTTTGAAAAAAAAGCACCTTTGGGACAATCATGACCTGGATGACTGAGAATGTCTCCATAGACACTTCCGGTGATGGAGCACCCACAACTTCTGGAGGCAAGCTGTTCCATTGGTTAATTGTTCTGTCTCCATTCGATATTTGGTCATTCAAAGCCACCAGATATTCTAGCGTTGAAAAACACAATAATTTTAAATGTCCTGTCAGAACATGGTGTTGATCCATCAATTTTTTATTAGTTTATCAGAATATCAAAATACAAAGGGAAATGAAAAGGAAAAAGGGAAGAGGAGAAAGTGTAGGGTAAAAAATGGATAATTGGTTGGTCAAAGTGGCGGAACTTCTTTAGTCTAACTTGGTTTCCACTTGGAAACCACTTCTGGATTTTGTGTTTGAGATGGAAAAAAAATGGAACTTGGATTGGGGTTCTGCCAAATCGGTCATGCCCAGTTTTGTTCCACTCGACAGGATACGTCTGTCGGTGACCACGAAAATCATTCCCCCCTGGAGAGCCCTCTAAATCCAAATGGATCCATGGACAATCTTGACCTTCTCTCCACCATGTCGGAAGGACCATCTGAAGAACATCCTGCCCAATCGGCCTACCAGGGCTTCAGAAGGCGCGCTAACACCCTCACCCACGTTCCCTTGGAGATGCAGGAGCCGTCTGAATCTGCGGAAGCATCTCCATCTGTTTCGCAAAGAAAACTTCTGAGGTACCATTCCATGACCACAGAAACTCCAGACCACCAAAAGTAAGATTATGTTTCTGGCCGGGGAAGGGAGAGGCAGGGGGAGAAAATGTTTGCAGGTATGTCCACCTTAGGCCAAGGAGAAGATTCTTCGGATCCATTCTTTGTCATTAACCATAGCATGGACTCCCGATCTGAAATGTTGAGATGATGTAACGGCGTCTTCTTTCTGTGAGAAGGTGCTTTATGAATGCAACTCCTAAGTCACCTTTATTAATCGTTGAGTTTGTTATCCTTATTAACCATTAATTGGGTTAGGGAGCAGGCATCCATCTTCTGTGATCAACTAACAGCACTAAATTGGTCCTAGATAAGAATTAATGGAAACCAAGAGAGTGTTGGATTTACACCCTTTATGAGTATGTAAGGACTCTAAGATGATTCCTCTCTTGACTCCACCACCGATCTCTGTCTCCTCTTCTCCTACCCATTAGCATCTGTTATTTAGTCTCACAGTGTAAAAAAAAAAAAAAGGGTGTTGAGGCCCTAGAAACAAAGCAGAGAAGAGCAACCAAGATGGATTACTCCTTGCCCTTTTTTAATAAACTAGCAAACTGTGAAATTGCGTTCAACAGGATGGTGTGTTTGTTTACACTGATATCCATTTCACGGCCCTCTGCCTACTTTTTATGATACCTGACGCATGTAGAATGCAAAACTAACGCAACTGCATCCTTTCTTCACTAATTATTATTAATTTTTTCTTGTTCTTTTCCATACTGGCGTAACCTTCCTCCGAAACGCTGGTCATCCTCAATGTACAACTATAATTCAGCCCAAAATTTCTAAGCGAGACACTGGTTAAGGGAGTTTTGCCCCATGTTACGACCTTTCTTGCCACAGTTGTTAAGTGAATCACTGCAGTTGTTAAATTAGTGACACAGTTGTTAAATGAATCTGGCTTCCTCAATTGACTTTGTTTGTCGGAAGGTCGCAAAAGGGGATCACGTGACCCCAGGACACCACGACCATCATAAATATGAGCCAGTTGCCAAGCATCTGAATTTTGATCACGTGACCACGGGAATGCTGCAACGGTCGTAATTGTGAAAAACGGTCCTGAGTTAGTTTTCTCAGTGCCGTTGTAACTTCGAACGGTCACCAAACAAATTGTTGTGAGTTGAGGGCTCCCGGTGGCTTTTCTGGAAACACCGCAAAATTGGACGGAAGCCGATGCCAAATTTTATTCCTCACCCTAAAAGAGACGTGTCCAGGATGAATTGTTAGCCGTGGAAAGGAAATGAAAAGAGGGAAGCGAGGATTCTGAAATACGACGTTTCATTGTCCCCTTTTTGGACCTCGTCTCTTGCTTTTCTTCTTCTTTTTTTATTTTTATTTTATTTTATTCAAATACAAATAATACAAACACAACACGTATAAATCTAAATAAAAAACAGTATAAAAAATACAAATACTACAGTGCACTCACACCCCTGGGGACCATTTTTATTACCTACATTTCTTCTCATATAACAACTACCAGTATACAATATATTGCAATTGTGCCTTTATCCCCTCCAAAACAGCATGTATTCTTAAGCAGGTTCATTCCCCTTGCCTTCCACCAAGACTGTTTTTATAAAAGTTCCTTCGAGAATACCAGATTTTATCACAGGGGTATTTCCAACCAGACAGGGCTTGTTCAGTTAAAAGGGGAGCTGTTAGTTAGCCCTTGAGGTCAGTTTCTTAGATGTCAGCTTAAATCTTATTTAGGGCATGAACTTGCCTTGCTTTGGTTTTATGGAGAATGTTGTGTTTTGTTTTGCTTTGCTTTGTTTAAAATCCTTGAAATCCTCCCGTTTCACGTGCTGAAGAGTTTGCTTCAAACACCGTACTCGAAGGGTGAGAGAAAATACCTAGAGTTTTATTGTGACCCACAACCTCCATTTGAACTTCATCTACGTTCTGTTAATAGATTAAAAGCTCCGATTAAACAAACATGGCGCAACGCAATATACGGCGTCACGGCTTTGGGGACCACCGTCCCTATTTTTGTCAGGAAAAAGACGTGAGAATCAGCCCGTTGAAGGGAATAAGTTGAATCAGATGTTCCAGTCCACGAGATGACATTCAGGTGTGGGTTTGAGGGTCCTTCTCTTCTTAAAAAAGACCCGCAAACATTTTTGTTATCCTCGGTAGCGAACATCTCTGAATACAAACCAAGAAAGAGAGTTCGTCAACCGACATTCCCTTTGGTCCAGGGTTAACATTTGGATTGTAGTGGTTTTTCAGTGTTACTAAAGTTTGCGCATGTAAGTGAAGTGGATTAGAAGTTGGTGGTGGAGATGGTTGTATGGTTTGTCACCATTGCATAGGAGCTCCTGATGGTTTTTGTGTCACCATCTTAACACAACGAATGTCCTCGTGGTACTGAGAACGAGAACGCGGCACGGAGATTCTCAGTCATCCCGATCGATCATGGTTGTCTCCGAGGTGCTTTTTTCACGAGGCAACTGGACTCTCTTGTGGGTTTTTTTGAAGATGTTTCTCTAATCATCTGAGAAGCTTCTTCAGCTCCCCACTCTCCAGTTTCTCCACACTGGTGTCTCCCCAAGCTTTCCAAAGCTGAGGCCTCTCAAGGGCTGGGAAACGGGCAGTTTTACCCTCATTAAAAAGTGACTTCTGCCAAGCATTAACGCTGTAAGCAGCAATACGTGCTCCATGCATTCCTGTATTCTCTCTACCTATCTTTATTCTGACCCTATCAGTATACGGTACACGATCAGCAGATCCGTGAGAGGCTCATAGAAGAAGCACATTTCAGTCAAAGGGCTTTGAGATGCTTCTTGATGCCACTTTCTGTGCGTAGAGGTCCTACTCTTAATTAAAGTGCTTCAGTTATATCTTTTTTTTTTATTTCAGCCTTTATATATGCACATACTTTATTTGACTTTTTTTCTTCCTTCCTTCCTTCCTTCCTTCCTTCCCTCTCCTTCTATCCATCTATCCATCCATCTCATCTTTCCTCTCTTCTCCTCACCCCTTTCCCTCTTCCCCCCTCTCTCCCTCTCTTCCTTCCTTCCCATCCTCTCTCCTTCCTTCCTTCCATCCATCCATCCATCATCTCATCTTTCCTCTCCTCTCCTCTCTCCTTGCCT